ATCTTCTATTTATTTTGTTCTTCGACTTCTTCCTCTCATTACTTTGCTGCTGTGAAGTGGGAATTACTCCATTGTGAGACTATTAAAGGTTTTCTGATTTTCTCTTATCTGATTGTACTCTTGGAGCTATGATAAAGGAAATGTCAATGGGTTTTTCGGAGGCGGTCATGAACGCCTCTCGAGTTGACCGGAAGAAAAGAAGGGAAGGAGACGGACAAAGACACACCTGAGTTTGTTGAAAAAAAATCAGAGCTGTGGTTGTGGTTTTATTATTTTTTTAAACGCAGACTTTATTAATGGTTTTTCTCACAGTCTCAGCAAGTCTTTGTCCGTCTCCGTGCTTTCTTCCGTCCACTCGAGAGGCGTTCATGACTGCCTACGAAAAACGTAAATTAATTCTTACTTCAATGAAACCACGAAGAAAATCAAGCGAGGAAATCACAAAATAAGTTCTGTAGGGGGGGATATAGAATTTATTTTGTGATTTCCTCGCTTGATTTTCTGTTTTAATGCATTATTTTAAATTTTGGTAGTTTCATTTAAGTACAGTAATGGTTAATTTACATTTTTCAGAGGTGGTCATGAACGCCTCTCAAGTTGAAAGGACGCCTCTCGAGTTGAATGGAAGGAGCGTAGCACCATCTAGTGGACGCATTGTAGATTGCGCCTTTTAGTGCGGGGCATCTAATATATGAAACAAATTTACGAAATAGCCATTCATTGAAGGTGCGCCTCATAATCCAGTGCGTCTTTTCGTGCGGAAAATACGGTAGCCACTCCTTGTCAAAGCCTGCTAAAGCTCTTGCCTCCGCAACCCGACCCCGGATAAGGGTCGAAATCGGATAGATGGATGGACTGTCAAAGCCACTGGCTTGTGTGTTTTTTAAGACGATATGGAAAGAGGAATTAAAAAAAAAAGTTTCAGTCACGTAGACGTTGACTTTGTGTTATTATGCTCCTAATTGGAAATGGATTGATGTAGCCTCCACGACTTGTCCTGTCCTGCATTGCGGCCCTCACTATCACCGGTGTTTCAGATCAAATTTCCACATGTCACCACCACGAATAAATATATTAGATTACACAGCAGGCAAGTGCCGCCTCCCTGTTAGGACAGCCACCAACCAACTATAGGCTGGACACTTTAGGACACATACGTCATGAGGTGACGGCCATTCACAAAGCAACAGAACAGAAGGAGAAGTATATTAAAGATGGTAGTACCTAAAAAAAACTAATAAAGTTACAAAAACTAAAATAATATGGTTTAGATAGAGAGTTGAAGAAAAATATATATATATACATATACACACACACACATACATCTCTGTCTCTCTAAAAATATACAACACACACACACACACACACACACACATACATCTCTGTCTCTAAAAATATACCGTATATATAAAAAAGGCGGCTGGATAGCTCAGTTGGTAAGGCACCGGTTTGGCGTACGGGAGACGGGGGTTCCAAATCCTGCTTGGGGCAAAAATGAGCACATAACACCATCCAGTGTGGGTCCTTGGGCAAGACCCTTCACGCTAATGCCTACCTCATACAATGATGATTGACAATAAAACGAATGACATGCCGGCTCAGACGTCGCCGGACCAAACAAGGTCTACGTCAGGTGCTGGGGAACCAGAGCACCTTGATGAAAAATGGGCGACTGGAACAAAGCGGAAATGGACGAGATGCAATAACATGGCTCTGTTGGAATGCTCCTACTCAAGCAACCCTAGTCAGAGGGGTTACATGCAGAGAATGCGGGCTGAATGGTTACTGTAAAGTAAGCTCTTATATTTGTGTGTATTTCTCAATAGCCCATTGTTTCATTTGACTTTGTTCCTATGTGTTCACACAAAGTTTTCCTCACACGCACGCACATCCCCCACACGCACGCACATTCCTCACACGCACGCACATTCCTCACACGAGCCCACAGCACACCACACCAGTACTTTTCCATTGTTTGCACTGCGCATGCTCTTTTCCTAATAAAAGCACTCTGCGGCGGGAAAACCAAGGGAAGAGCGGGAGACCTTGTGAGCCGAGCACACTATGACCTTGTGCCCTCCCTGTTCTTCCCTGCTGCAGCAGTCTAAACCTAATTTCCGTGTGCGTTGCCTGTTCTTTGCCCGGGCCGGTCGGGTCTTTTAGACCTAACATTTCCTTCGAAACCCACAGTCACGGTTGACCGTGAAACAACGAGTAGCTCAGTGTTCCAACATCCACAAACGGCAATTACTGTCACAACTTGAGATTGACGAGGTACAACGCAGGGTCCACGGCGAAGGGCCCCAGGCTGCCAGATCAGAGGAGGAGGTCAGACCAGAGATTGGGAGGCAAGCCCCAATGAATACAGATGATGAGATTGGGAGGCCAGCCCCAATGAATGAAATGCTGAGCAAGGCAGCAACTGACCTGAAAGCTAAGATCATGGCGAGAATGAAGGCTGGGCAACCTAGAAACCGATTACAACGGCACGTGTAATCATGTGAAGTACCACCTGAAAGTCTCATGGAAAGTGTGACTGCAGCACTGAGGGCGATCCCGACCGTAACGATCACGGAAACCAATGAGCTGATATACGCTTCAGCATCAGTGATCCTAGAGATGCTTGGCTATTAAGAGCAACCATGGGAGCCATGAGATACGTTACCCACCATGGAAAAGAGGGTTGGAGGCTAAGATCAAGGCGGTTCGGAAAGATGTGAGTCAATTGACGGAGGCCCAGAGAGGTGTGATGAAAAGGCCGATACCCGAGAGGTACATCCAGATGACCATACCTGAAGCACTCGAAAGTGCCAAACAAAGGCTCCACGCCTTGTCCAGTCGCCAAAAGAGGTACACGAAAGAGAATGAGGCCAGAAGAATAAACAGGCTCTTCGCAACACAACCTGTGAAAGTGTATACGCTCAGACGCAGGGTTCTAACAGCAGAACAGACCCATCAAGACTGGAAACTGAACGGTACTGGAAAGGCATATGGGAGAAGGAGGTCGCACATAACAGCAGTGCACAATGGCCTGTGACCCTGAGAGAGGAGCACAGCAACCTCCCTGAACAGAACCCAGTTACCATAACAGTGGCAGACATACAGGAAATAGTCTTGGATATGAAAAACTGGACAGCACCAGGCCCACACCTACTGGCTAAAGAAACTCACAGCACTCCATGAGCGCCTAGCA